TCTACAACTCTAGGCTTGTGTATGCGGACATGTAAAAGGCATGAGAAAGTAATGCAAATTTAGGTCTAGAGGGGACTTGTCTCACATGTGTCTTTAAACGTTGCCTAGTGTAGCCGTGGGGTTTTGTGGCAGCATCTCTGGAACCATATTGGAGGACAGAAGTGAAGAAGAAGAGATTTAAGAGGAGGGGCAGCAAGAGTGAGCCTCTTTCTGCTGCACATCCTGGCTGTTGGCTGGAAAAAATTGGAGACAGGATTTCCTTGGCTAGTTATAAGAAAATACTATATGGTAATTGGAACATTTCTAAAAAGCCTAAGCAAATTCTCATGGCTCTTATGAGAGATATGGGGGCAGAGAGTAAGGTGGGCAGTAATATTTCTTTAACAGGACTGGGGATGTAGCTCAGCAGTGCTGTGCGTGCCTGGCAAGCACAAGGTCCTGGTTCAATTTCTGGTACTGGATAAACAAACAAACAAATACTTCTTTAACAAACAAAAGTGAGAGGATCTGTAAAAGGCAACCCTAACATATGCTCCAAAAGGCAGCAGCATCCTGCTTTTCTTCTGAGTCTCTCTTTTCACTTTCACATCTTACCTCAGGACCTTTTCTCATTAGCACCTTCACCAGAGTTGGAGCTGGAGAAGAGAAAGGAAGTGTTCAGACATGTGCCTATTTGCATAACTACTTCACTGAGTTAAAGCCAGGACAGCACAAACATTCCATCCAGGTCCATGAAAAAGCCAGTTTTCATCAATTTTGATGGTATTATTTTCTTTTTTAGCATAGAACTTTTATTGGCAGCCTTCTCTTAACTGTACATTATAAATAGTGTCTGATTAAGAATGTTCTGGATGGGTTAATTAGTGTGGTGACTATTACTAGAAAACTGCTTGTTAGTATTATGCCTATTTGATCTTGGTATTGATGTGAAGTAATTGACCATAGAGCTACATTTAGAAAAGCTGAAATGAACTTTTTTTAAATTACTATTATGGCAATAAATTGTTTATATTAAACATGTCTATGAAAATGTGAGTTTCATGGCATAGAATAGACTGTGTGGGATGGTGGGTAAGGTTTGTTTTGTTTTGTTTTGTTTTGTTTTCAGAAATGTTAACATATTTGTCCAAGCTTCTTGAAGACTAGCTCTGTTGAAACAAAGTAGTAAGAAATTATTTCACTTCCTGCCTTTGCTATTGCTGCACAATATGTACAAATCAAAGTGTTTTAGACTCCCCCCAACTAAAGGAGGTACCCTGTTAGATTCAGATAATTGCCTAATGCTTCTTTTGGTAGCAGTCACTATAATAAATAGACCATTAAAGAAAAATCTGAAGAGATATTATAAACAAGGGAAGCATAGCTTATAACCACCTTCTTTCAAGTACTGAATTGTTATCTATATTATCTGCTGGTACTTTGTCCAGTTCCATTATTAAGTTTCCCTAGCTGTCACATATCCATAGGGAATTTATTCGATGAGCTATAAATTATACCATCAGGGAATTTTTTCTTGAAATTCAGCTTAAATTTTCCCATTCTTAATTTCATTCCATTACTCCTAGTTATACCCCCTTGTACCAGGCTAAATAATTATCCATTTTCCTTGGAGGCTTCTATTATGTACCCCTCTAGTTGTCACTTCACTAGGCTATTCATATTTAGCTCCTTTAATCTGTCCTCATAAATCAGTTCTTCCATTGCCTTAATCATTATTACTGCTCTTTTAAGAACTCTCTAATTTTCAAACATATAGAGTTCTAGGATGCTCCTGATGAAATCAGCGTTCATACAATGTTCTGTTCTGCAGACCCATTTCTTCCCTCCCTTTGCAATAGGATTCTACACTAAGTGACATCAGTTTGCTGTGTCAAATCAGCACTTGCTCATCTTGTCAGATTCAGGATGATTTTTCACTGTTTCCAACTTCATACAAGATTTATTCTGATTTTTTTAAATTTTGTGGAATTTGTAACCCATTTTGTTTCCTGCCCCTATTTGTTTTCTGCATCTTTTCATGTGCTTATTCACTACCACCTATCAAGTCAGCCATCCACAACCTGTGTTAACATGGGAATTTAGTCATCTTTGAAAACATTTAAGAAATGTGTTGAATAAAAGCAGACCTAGCACCTTGCCCAGAGCTAAATTCCTTGTCAGTTACCAATTTCCATTGTTTACAACCCTTTAGCCAATCTCCCATCTCTTTTAATTTGTAGTTTTGCTCACATGCTGGCCAATAAAAATGGATTTTATGAGTAAGATAGGTCATGAAGTTGTTTTCTAAAACGAAGATATGTTGTTTCACTGCCCTTGATTTTTTTTTTAAATTGTGAATCCTTTTTGCACTAAGTATAATTTTGTTAAAATTCTCTTTAAGCTTGCCTGGCATACTTTATCTGACATTAACAAATGGTTTGTTTGTTTGCTTTATTGTTGTTTTCTAGATATGTACAGATGTTCTTTCTCTTAACATTTGTTCTGTTTGGGAGAAGCTGAAGATGTTGACATAGTCATTTTCTTTTTTACCTATTGTGGTGATAAACTAAAACTTAAAAGATTTTTTTTTTTTTTTGAGACAGGGTTTCATTGTATAGCCAAAGCTATCCTAGAACTCTCTATGTAGCCCAGGCTGGTCTTGAACTCAGCTCAAGGATCCTGCCTCTGTCTGCCTAATGCCACACTTACAGGCATGCACCACTAAGCTCAGCTTTTTTGTATTTTGAGGCAGAGCCTTCCCAAATCACTCAGGTTAGACCCAAATTTTTGATACTCCTACCATAGCCTTCAAAATAGTTAGAATTACAGGTGTGTGTAAAACTTTCCTTTTAGCTCTTTAGAATCCCCTCGGTATTTGAAGTTTGTTTTAGGAAAGCTCATTTGCCCCCTTAATAATTTTAGACCTGTGAGATCTGCAGGTACAATCTGTAAATACCCACTTTTTTCCCTATTTTAAATCAACGATTGATTTATTATTTTATTACGTAATGTTTAAGGGGCCAATTCCATTCTTTCTGTTTTATGTCTGTATTGCAATTGTCTATTTATTGCTTGGGGGTTCATATTTTCAGTTGATTTTTCTCCCACTATTTAAAATAAGAATAGACATTTAAAGGGCTTTATGAGACAAACATAGAAGCTCTGAAACCAAATTTTCTGACCCTGGAGTGTGCATGGCATAGTACATACAGCCAAAGGCCTAGTTTCCAGTTCACAGGGATTCCCCACTGTTCACTAGTGTTACTTATCATCCTTCAGTAATGCTCCCTGCCTGTGAACACAAGGACTCTGGTCCTGTAGTTGACTTCTTAAACCCTGTATCTACTTCTGCTCACTTCACTTGAAATAGAAACCTGCCCTAACGCTTTAGTGACACAACTTCTTTTATTCCACATCTGCCACCCAAATTTATTTCCAGTTCCATTTCTCCCTTCTCAATTCAGCTTTACAGAAAATTTAGGCTTTTCTCTTTTACTTGACCCCCCACTTACGCACACATACATACCAAGAATCCTGCCATTAATAATATCAGATGTTATTATTTTTTCCCATTCCTGTTTTTCAAGACTTTATTTTTGTAAAATCCTGTTTCCTTTCTTAGCAACTGTCTCTGACTATTCCTATGTCCTCAGGAACCGAAACTTTCTTTGAGATTTCTGGCCATGCTACAACACAGAGACTTTAAGAGACTCCGTGGGAGTAGCCATTGCCCTAGGACAAGACTATTGCTGTAACACCTTTCCATGTTTTATATCTTTACACATTCTTTGAGGATTCTTGATTCATTTCCATTATTCTCTCAAATTGTCTTTCTACTCTTCCAAATGTTACTTATTGCCCTCCTTCATGGTTTCTTCCTTCTTGGCCCCAAATGCATGTATTCTCCATTTTTCACTTACTCAACAGTTCAAACAAAGGCCAAATCCCTCAATGGGCCTCATGAACTCTAAGAGAGCACTTGGTCATGTGGCCCAGTCTACCCCTCCAGTCTCACATATCAGCCTCTTTGGATTGTGTGTCATTCCCAGAAGAGTTCAGGTTTCTGCATATCCATTTCCTTTGATCCCACTGTTCCCTCAATCCAGACTTTCCCCACCTTTGAATATCCTTGCATTAAAACCTTTCAAGACTTTACTGATCCTCTAGATAGGATTAATTTATTCTTCACTTGAGTTGGAAAAGTTGGAATGTCCATTGTAGATACGGTATATTCCAATATAGGTTAGTTACCTGTTTATACATCTCTCTCCCACTCTGTTCTAAGCACTCTTTATTTTCTCCCCAATAGATGGAGAACTCCTTAAGAGATCCTGTGTTTGCATGTATAGCTCACAGATTTTAGGCTATATTTGAATTTTTAAAGATTTTATTTGTATTCCCTATTAATAAGTAATGGATCCTGAGTAACAGTCAGTAAGTAACAGATATCAAATACATATTGCACCATAACAAAGCATGATAGGAAGTAGGCGAAAAATTATAATGAAATGGCTATAAAAATATATTTCATAAAAGCAGTAACAAGATCATTTTAACAAGAAGTATGCAGAGGTGTCCAGGAATGCAAAATAATCTTGTGAGAAGTAGCAAAGGTAGTCAAGGAAATTCCAAATATTTTTATAGGATAATTAACATGTGGCTTGAAAACAAGCACTGGACTTGATAACATAAAATGAAAATGCAAAAAAATGAGTGAGAAAAGAATGATAAATTATCTCAGTAGTATTATGTTTAATTGTATGTGCAGCAGTGCAGGGTTTTTATCCACAGAAACTCTTTGGAAACCATTTAAAAATAGTCTTGTCTAATTTCAAACCTTTGAACCATCTCTCAGTGGCTAATACCTGTTGAACCTTTTCTAAAATTTTTGTTAGGACATCTTCATTTTTTTTTATCGCAGCTTTATATCCAGTTATCATGTCCTTATAGAAAGGTAAGGGTAATTTTACTTTTTTTTTTTTTTTTACTAAAAGCATATTCCATTCCCTTTTTTGTAACAGATTCATGCCCAAGCACAAAATAACCCATTTAAAGAAGATGCTCAGCCTTAAAGGAAATGGCAGTGCTGTGCTATCCATGGCCCTTCTTTCACAGCCGGAGCAGAAAAACCCTGAGAATTTATTGGAGAATTTTAATTCAGTGGACAGTGTATACTCTGACCTTCATATTGCACAGAACAACCTGGATAACTCATCAATACAAGGGTCAGACTTGAAACTTGCAAGCTCCTCAGATAATTCAAGATCTCATCATGAAGAAAATATACAACATCTGACTCTTAATTACTTTGACAGTTTGGGTGGAGTTGATGATCAGCAAAGACCATTGCACATTGTCTGGCCTCATAGGTGGTAAGTCAAGACATGCAACTGAGTAAAAACTAGTAATAGAAAATATATTCTGATGACTGATTTGCTGTCCTTCTAGCTTTAGAGAAAGATCATTTTAATGTAATAGTACTAATATAGTGAAAGATGGTAATACTCAAATATCTTTATGTTAATTATTTTGTGTTGAAAATTTGAATTAAGATAATAACTATTTGCAGTGATTTGCTCAACTAACAGTAGTAGCCAGACACTCAGAAATTCAAATCTTGTTAAAGACAGTTTCAATGGATAAGATGCCATTTTAGTTATACACACATGCATTCATATTACCACAAGACAATTTTATATGCATGGATTGGTAAATCAGTATTACCATTAAAATAAGAACAATTTCTATTATTTACACCTGCTTTGACCAGTGTCAATGAGATGGCTTTGTTTTACGTTTACTTGTCATAATATAGATCAGTACATTTGAAACCATTTCCCTTCTCCCAAATGTCTCAGAATTGTGCTAAGCAAAATACCATCTAGGTGGATCTTTTCTAAATAGAAAAAATCAACTGCAGCATATAATCTCACCAAATATAAACTCATAAATTTAACCCTGGTTTCTATAAATTAGGATTTTTAAAAGGTAAAATGTCTGATAATCTGATGTTAGACATGAACATTTTAATCTAGTTTTCATTCCTCCCAGTTAGTTTAATCTGCATGTGGCCTGATTAGAGTTCACTTCCACCACAGATTATGGTCTTTTTATTGCAGAAATCCTGAGCTTATCATTAGGTCAGATTTTCTTAGAGCAACTGTTTGCAGGTGAAGTAATAAGCACACCACACCGGCTGGGCAAAGCTCCTTTGCCGAGGATTTGACTTTCAGCACACTGAAACTCCAGAGTCCTCCCAGCTGATCTGCAGCATCTGGTACCTAAAGGGATTTTTATCTTTGATTTTAAATATATGAACATAAAATTTAGGGATTGAAAGTTGATGTGGAATCTGTCTTAGATTTGTTAATCGTCACACTTCCAGCATATCCTTTCTAAGGGAGTAACATTTATTTGTAAATCCTATTTTATTTAGAATGTGATAGTGTTCGTATCTTTTACATTATTTTTAAATGTAGTGGATCTGGATAAGATCAACCTGCTTGAAGGTAAAATACTTGTCCTCATTTACTCCCTTCTGAAAGCTTTTTCTTTTATTCCACTAATTTTGGTTGTCTCTGAACTAATATTTATTGCAAGAAAATCTGTTCTAAAAAGTTTGGATCTGGTTTATCATAAAATTGTTAAATAATTTATAGACTGTTGTTACTAAACAGTGATATGGAGGATAGAGAGAGAACCGTGTTATTTAATACTTTGCACAAAATAAGAAAAAGCTATGTTAATAAAACTAACAATATTAAATTGAATAATTCCCTCTCTTCCTTTTTATATTTTTGCTTTAATTTAATTTAATTGCCTAAAGTTAGTTGCTTAAAGAGATGCAGCATTATGTTTGTGCACATTCTTATTGTTAAAGCTAAATTATTTTTAATTTGGAGAAGAGGGAAAAAAGCCACATCAGCAAGAGTAAATGCCAAAATATAAAAGTAACACATTCATCCTTACGGGTAATATAGTAGAACATTGGAAACTTGGAGGTTGCCAGACACATAGCTAACATTAGGGCTAATTTTGAAAATCTAGCGTGCAGTCAATTTTACTGATGCCTGGGGACATACAAGGTAGAAGCTGACAAGAGAACTAATTTTGTTTGGGTTATTTACTGCTATGCATCATCCTCGGGTTCCCGCCTGACACACAGCTATATGAAGGGGGATATTATCACACACTAAAAATTTATGTTGACATTCGATATTTGTTCAATATGTCAGCAGTATTACTTTCATAATCAAAAGAGTAAGAAAAAGAGAAAAGAAAAGCACTTTATGCTCATATAGATATATCTTTTTAATAACAGTCTATAAGGTTAATATAGTTTACCTTTGAGAGTATACAATGAAAACAAGCAGGGTTAGGAGGGGAAATGACAGAAAGCATCAACTCGAGCTGTTTGTTTGCCATTACCTAAGCGAGCCATGTCAGCTCTCTGGCCCGCGTCTGATAGCTATTTGTTGTACAGAGAGCACAGCATAAAAAAAATATCAAACTCTTAATACTATTGTGTGCCCATAACCATCTGTCACTGCTAGCCTGGAGATGAGAGGAAGATTACGAGGAATAAACACTGAGCCGCCGAGCATTGGTAAAGCCTTCGGGCAAAAAACTCTTGTGGGGACATCAAAGACATTCTAATTCCGAGGCAGTCAAGGATTACAGTGTGTAACCTGTGCTGACAACAGATAAATGACTGGCAATATTGTGCCAGAGCTGTTGGGTCCTGCATGGAGTACTGATGATGATGATGATGATGTTATCTTGCAGAATGGACTCTGCTGGGATAATTTTATGATAAAACACTTTTTTCAAATGCCACTGGGTCTAGGCAGACATTTACTAGCTACAGGGGTAGCAATCAGTTTCTTCAAAATTTACTGTTCTAAGCCCATTAGAGTTCCAGCACAGCAAGACTCTTCAATGAAAATCTAAAACGCCTATATTTTCTTTAGGAGAATATATGCAAATGTTGTGAGCTGAACTCCTACCCTTTAGTAGTAGATGCTTTATCATCTGATTTATGTAAATTTGCTCATAAAAATACAGTCTATTTTTAATTGGTGAATATGAATTAGAAAATTAAGATTCTGGTTCAGTATTCATCAAACATCCCCAGCTACAAGCACACATTTATTTATAACCCTAATCATATGGGTAGAAATCATATCATTGACCAGTCAGTACGAATTGTATTCTAAAGGAAGTGACCAGGATTGTATAGCTGATGCAGCTCTCTTAGTTTGTTCCTCATCCGCCTTTACCCTTTACATTCCCTTTTCAGTACTGTGAGTTACTTTAGCTCCCTGCTCAGAGGTGGCTTTTCTTTTTAGCACCCTGCAAGAAGTTTTTCAGGCTGTTGCGTTTGTGCTGTGTCCACATGTGTTTTTGGGAGACAAAGTGTTTCAGGAGAGGGTAGTGCATCAAGGGTTGTTTCCCCTGTAAACATGAAGGAGAAGTGGACACTGGAGAGGGCTGGAGGGTTCTTAGACTCTGTCATTACGTTGCCTAACAAAACAAAAATAAAACCCTCCTCCTTATCATAAAAAATATGCCCATGAAATCATGCTGTTGTGGTAGTCAACTCTAAAAATGAAGTGATTCTGACCTCATTGTGTTCATTCCACACTGGGATCATGAATGGTTTAAAATATAGTGTTAGCCTCTAACATATCTTGTACTAAGTCAACCAAATGTAGAGCTTACTTGCGAGGATATGTATCAGATTCAAAAGTGACATTTTCGTTCCACCGCCTGACTTGCAAGCGCAAGGACCCGAGTTCAATCCCCAGTACCAAAAGTGACATTTTCTAGGAGATGCTTTCTGGCTTTAAATCTGTGTTAAAGTGTCTGTGTTTGAGAATAGGCCCTTAAATGCAAGGTTCGCCCCCCTCTCTTCAGTCTTTCCGAATCTGGGCTTGTCAAGGATTATAGGAGCAACCTGTGCTGACAGTAAATAAATAACTGACAGTATTTTAACAGAGTTGCTGGGTTCTCTGCAAAGTAATTTGTTTCCTACTTTCTATCCAGTCTTTAATGCTTTGTTACAAACATCTATGCAAGACATGGTTAATAGAAATGAGTTATAGAGAAAGATCTGTTAAAAATGCTTGTTTTTAAACTGTTTTATTTCCAAATATAGTACTAACCTTGAAATATTGCACCAGTTTCCAGACTTTATGTAAATGTTCTCTACATTGATTAGGGCCAACATACACACTGCTGGATGGTCAGAAAAAATAAGTGTAGAAAGTATTGAAAACTAACACTCTCAAGGCCATGGCTCTCAACTGTTTGATATAAAGACTCTTTCATAATCTTAAAAAATAATTGTTTATTGGAATTTTACCTATCAATATTTACTGTATTAGGAATGAAAATTAGGGAGAAAGTTTTATATCTACATTAAATCATCTTAAAATAACAATGAAGAATCAAATATGTATTAATATAAATTAGATATTTTTATTAAAATAACTTTTTCTGAAACAAAAAATAATACAGAGGTGTGACATTATTTCAAATATTTGTACATACGAAATATCTAAGTGGAGGAGAATTTAATTCTTACATCTCTTTCAGTATTCAGTCTGTTACAATATGCTGTTTTGGTAGAAGTTTATAAAAAAAAATCACACCTCACAAAGAAATGTTGTTGGAAAAGGAAGGAATGTTCCAGTGGCCTATTCTAGTTATCGTAAATGTTCTTCTTTGATACTGAACCAAAACTTGACAAGGAGTTTCTTTAAGAGTAGTTGAAGTGTGGGCTCTCATACCACTTTAATGTGTTCTCCATGCTGTTACTTGCACTTTGAATGGCTTTTGTAGCATCATGAATTGATCACTTGGAAAAATAATAGGCCCACCAAATGATGCAGATGTTTTAAATGTTGACACAGTTCATTGTCTGGTTTCAAAAAAATAACATTTGTTAATATAACCATAGTATAGATATAGTTTTTTTTTCAAAATTGTAATGGCTACTTAAAAGTTGAAACTTAGACTTACAAGATATATCAGCTGTTCCCTATGAAGTGACAGGTTCACATGGTTAATATCTAAGAAAATGTCTGCCAAATACTCAGATCTGACCAACCATCTTTTGTGTATCATCTTTTCTTTCATCTATACTTAGGATTTCAGGAAGAAGACACTTTACCTCACAATTTAAGTAATGATACAAATTCTTTACTTCAAGAAAAACATTGTATCCTGATATGCAATAAATATGCCTTAATGTAATATATTTCCTGTTTTATCACAAAGAATATTAAAAGATATCTATTAAAGAGATGAAACTAGTCACTTTTACTACTTCCTCAAGGACATTCATAAGTAAAACAGACTTCAACTGCAA